AGCTGCAAAAAATTAACCTGCAAAAAAATTCAGCTGCAAAATTTCAGCTGCAAAATATTCAGTGGCAAAAATTCAGCATCAAAAAATTCACCTGCTAAAAAATTCGGCTGCAAAAATTTCAGCTGTAAAATATTCAGCTGCAAAAAATTCAGCTGCAAAAAATTCAGCATCAAAAAAATTCACCTGCAAAAAAATGTAGCTGCAAAATTTCCGCTGCAAAATATTCAGTGGCAAAAATTCAGCATCAAAAAATTCACCTGCTAAAAAATTCAGCTGCAAAAATTTCAACTGCAAAATTTCAGCTGCAAAATATTCAGTGGCAAAAATTCAGCATCAAAAAATTCACCTGCTAAAAAATTCACCTGCAAAAATTTCAGCTGTAAAATATTCAGCTGCAAAAAATTCAGCTGCAAAAAATTCAGCATCAAAAAAATTCACCTGCAAAAAAATTCAGCTGCAAAAATTTCAACTGCAAAATTTCAGCTGCAAAATATTCAGTGGCAAAAATTCAGCATCAAAAAATTCACCTGCAAAAAAATTCAGCTGCAAAAATTTCAACTGCAAAATTTCAGCTGCAAAATATTCAGTGGCAAAAATTCAGCATCAAAAAATTCACCTGCTAAAATATTCGGCTGCAAAAATTTCAGCAGTAAAATATTCAGCTGCAAAAAAATTCAGAATAAAAAAATTCAGCTGCAAAAAATTCAGCATAAAAAAAATCACCTGCAAAAAAATGTAGCTCCAACATTTCAGCTGCAAAAATTCAGCATCAAAAAATTCACCTGCAAAAAAATGTAGCTCCAAAATTTCAGCTGCAAAAATTCAGCATCAAAAAATTCACCTGCAAAAATTTCAGCTGTAAAATATTCAGCTGCAAAAAATTCAGCTGCAAAAAATTCAGCATCAAAAAATTCACCTGCTAAAAAATTCGGCTGCAAAAATTTCAGCTGCAAAAAATTCAGCCGCATAAAAATTCCCTGCAAATTCTTTGCAGCTGAAAAAATTCTCCTGCATAAAAAATCAGCAGCAAAAAATTCAGCCGCAAAAAAATCGACTGCCAATATGTCGACCTTTTGGTGAACTCAGGCCAAAGCAATCGACACTCGATGCAGTCGAGCAGCTTCTAGCCAATGAAATCAGCTCATTTGGTCCGAAATAATAAGGAAGTTTTCCATCGGCTGCTTCTTCCGGATCAAACCAAGAGCCTTGACAGACGGGGGTGCTGCACTAGCTGTGATTGGCTGTTATTTCACCCAGTCCCATTAGATGGAAAACTCTAATAGCTGTCTATTAGCAGCTACCTGACGTTTTGTAATCAGATCTATTTAACAAGAAAAACTCTTCAAGAACAAAGCTATGCCCACCTGTTGTGTCATGTGACCAAATGAGCTCATTTCATTGGCTAGAAGCTGCTTGACTGCATTGAGTGTAGATTGCTTTGGCTTGAGTTCACGTCGACACATTCGCAGCTGAATTTTTTGCAGTTGAATATTTTGCAGGCAAATTTTTACCAGATAAAAATGAAATATAATGAATTCAATGTAAAAAATAAAAATGTGTAAAAAAAAAAAAAACTCATTAACAGACGTCAGATCTTACTTTTGTTATTCTTTTAACCTTAAGTTTCTCAAGGTGATTGGGAAATTATGGTTTTCTGCAAAGAAATAGAAATCATGTCTTTTCTTCGCAAAATATTCCAGTCCAAGTTTTATTGATTTTAGAGTTTTAAATCTGTTCAACTTTGTTTTTTTTTCCAGCGGATCCCCAAAATGTTAGCCTTTGACCCCAAAAATAACAATCCAACAGAAAGGTGACAATCTAAAATAAATACTCACCCTATAGTTATTCATACATAGGAAGTGAAGTAATTATGCTATTTTTAATATATATATATATATATAAAATTATGTTTAATTCATCATCTGAATGTATTTGTTGAGAAATTTTGTTATTTAATTGTGAATTTCATAATTTAACGTTTTATACGAATCATTAGACTTTAAAGGAAAAGTCCGGTTAGCAGGGAACAATCAATGGATCATTATTAGCAGTGATTTAATGAATTTAGCGTTAATCAGTAAAAGAAAAAAATTATAATTTTTGATTTAATATTTTTTGATCACTGAGTCTGGGAGCGGTCATTTTTGCCCAAATATAGTAACCCCTCCCTCCTGCCATCTTCCAGCAGTGACGTCACGGTGCGGTAAGCCTAGCGCCATTCTCCCCGCTTTACAAGCTAAATCAATGGGAACTACTAGACACGTCTGCAATCAACAACAATTATTGAAGATTTCCAGAGGACTTCACCATTGAAATTCACCAGAGCTATAGTGAAACTGACAATACATCAGGTAAAAGCGGAAAAGAATATAAGTTATTTTTAGTGTTGCGCCATTTTTCTGCCCCAATACCCGGCTGTGCAGTATCAGCCGATACGGAAATTGATGTGTGTGTATATATGAAGAACTGCATTCTACTTGGATGTAAAATAATTGCCATCATGGTTTCATGTCAAGCTGCTGCCTACCTTTGTGAAGCAGGAAAAAGACTAAACAGTGAATCCAGTAGAACTTTTTATTGCCTACCTGGAATGGGTGACAATAGTTAATAAACTTTTGGCTCTCAAAATGGTATCAGTGCCCTATTAGTTGGTACTCGCTGATACCGATGCCACCATTTTAGTGCTGGATCGGGGTCCCGCCCGATACTGGTATAGGTATCGGTGCAACACTTGTTATTTCACCTTTCTGATTCTTGATCCTCCACAGACGGGTTCGTCGTTGGATCGCCAACTTGAAGAGGGAGGATTTGCCACCGAACTTCACCACAACACCAGATACAGCACTGGGACTTGATCAACAGCCGATACCGCACCGTGACGTCACAAACCAGTAGGTGGCAGTCAAGGGCGTAGGTTTGAATTAAACTTTGGTAGGGACACTATTGGTCTGATGTCATTGGTCCTATGCAAAAATATGCATGCTGGTTTTTTTATGCTTGACGTGGAAATCAGTGTGTATTTTGTTTAAAGATAAAAGCACCATTTCTTGCTACATTTGTAAAAATGTTTATCAATGTTTGAAGCATCATCGGCTCTGATGAATGACAAATTATGACTTTTTTCCACTTTGAAAAGGTTTGCATTTCAAATTACCAGCGACTCAGACAGAAAGTAAATCTGTGCCTATTTAACTAAATATAGTCTAAATATGTCTGTTATATGTGGATTTATCCTGTTTTTTTCTTTTGAAGATATACAATTCTGGAGAGGTAAAACCCACTCTTATCTTTTAAATATTCTCTCTGTATCATGAAACAAAGCAAAATTATAGATTCAAGGGACACAAAATAAATGTATTGTATTTACATGAGAACTGGAACTGACACTGAGCATTTAGAATATTAATTTCACTCTACAAGTCATCTAGGCTGTAGTTACTCTATTTAACCCATATCATGTATTTTATCTTGGGCTGAAACAATTCATTGGAATAATCAATTATTAAAATGTCAACAAATTTAGTGATCGATTAATCCTTAACTGGAGTATAGAGACTCTAAAACATGTCTTTAGCTCACAGAGCGACCGATTTAGAGCAGGAATTATACCAAAATTGTAAAAAAAATATATATATATATAAACAAAAATGTTTTTATCTGTCAATATTCAACATAGTCAACATAATATATGTTGGTAAGGACAAGTAGGTCGGTCCAAAATGTTGGTAGGGACATGTCCCCATGGTCCCTATGCAAACCTACGCCCATGGTGGCAGTAATGTTCTTTGACAAACATGGATGCCTCCAGTAAAGCACATTCTGAATTAAGAACACTGATCATTTATTGAACACTACGTAATAATTTCATATTTAAAGTACTTTTAGAAGTTTATGGAAGAATATTAAGGCCACTGAAAAAATAAAAGAAAGGTTAACTGATTTTTGAATATTATTTCAATTTAATATCAGAAAAAAAGTCGGAATTCGGACTTTAATCTCAGAATTGTGGATCTTAATGTAGATGGGCTCCATGAAGGCAGAGATGTGGAGATTACTGACAAAGATATGAGTTGTTTGGGAGGAACAGGAACACATTAATGGAAAATGACGGAATTAGTTGACTCTTTATGTGCCTGAAGGGTCCCCGGTGACGCTATTTGATTAATGGAAGAGCAGAAGGTGTTTAAAACAAGAGAGATAGGATCTAAAACAGGCATGGCTACAGCTTGATGCTAACATGTTTGTTAGCTGTCAGAATTCTGAGATTAAAGCCAGAATTCTGAGATTAAAGTCAGAATTCTGAGATTAAAGCCAGAATTCTGAGATTAAAGTCAGAATTCTGACCTTTTTCTCATATTTTACTGAAATAAATTTTTTATTCTGAATATGACCGGTGTAGGTACCAGATTGACTCGGGGGCCTGCGCCTCTTGAGATGCGTCAGAGCGCCCGCCATCTTAAATGTGGCAAATCTGCAGTTTCTCAGTCACTTAAACAGTATCAGAGGGACTTTAATCTCTGAATATACTTTGTATTCGTAGTATTTTTGTTTTTGTAATATTACAAGTTTATTTTTTGTATCCCTTTAGCTTCATTCTCCTGCATTTATTCTCGTTACAAATGCAGACCGCGGGCTCAATGTAGTTTGTTTGAGTGGCGTTGCCATAATGTCACATCATCGGGAGGCGCAAGGCCCATGGAGAATTTCTTCGTAAAATTTTCCGTTTACAAACCGCAATCCCGCTTTCGAATAAAACCTACACCCCGCTATAATTACTTTAGTAAGCTGTCCAGTCCAATCAAAATGTTTTGCGCAATTGTGCAAACGTTAAAACAATTATGTATTGTGACGTCATCAAAAGGAGCAGGCCCCCGAGTCAATCTGGCAGCCCGAGTCAATCTGGTACCTACACCGGACTTTTTTTTTAAAGGTCCGATATGCCATTTTTCCGAGCTCCAGTGAACGCATCCTAATCCCCACCGTGGATGGGGGCGTGGTCTCCAGCTGGGACGTAAACTGGACGCGTCTCCAAAGCCACAGAGTCCAACACTGAGCTCCGGTCTGGATGTTACCGGAGCCCCGCTGGGTTTGGGTCACCGTTCCGTCCTGTTCTGCGCCGCCATGACGGCCTGAAGCAGGTTCTGGGAGCAGTTGTCTCCGAAGAGGCTCTAAGAGGAGAGCAGAGGAGGCGAAAGCCCGCAGAGGGACCGAGCAGGGAGCGGGTCCGAAGGCTCTGGATCGGTGCCGAGCGCTGGCTGCCGGCCGGCGGTAGGATGATCGGAGGAGACCCGCTGAGGCGGCCGGAGCGGAGCGGCTTGAGATGGGGGGGCTGATGGGAAACTAGACACGTCGACGCGTGTTTTCTTTCTTTGAGTGTAGAGCTATAGACCTAGAAGCTGGAGGCGCTGTGACACCATGTGGAGAGTAGCGGTGTGCTGGATGCTGCTGCAGACGCTGCTGCGCTCCGCTGCAGGTAGGAGCCGCCTCGGTCCGACCTGATCACTAACAATAATTCACACATCAAAGGATCCATGGAAGATCAAACATGTCCCTGGAAACCTTCTCCTGTATTATGGCTGAACAGCTGTTTGTGTTTCTGATGGTTGGAAGGACCCCTTACCAGCACCCTAATCTCCAGTCCGGGATGGATTCATGGTTCAGCAGGTGGATCAGAGCAGAGGGGGGGGATTTACCATCAGGCAACACTAAGCAGTCCCCATAAAACTCTGATTACATGTATGGTTAATACAACTATTCCTTATTTGTTCACATTAATTATGTTTTTGATAAAAATCCTTTGGCTAAAATGCCATCAGAATGCTGATAATATTAAAGTCGTAGGGAAGTCATATTTAAATGTCAAATTATTTTGGCTTAAACATGTATATAAATTTACTCTTTATCACTCAGATCATATTCTCCCAAAAGTTAGAAAAATTTATATTTAAAAAAAAAAAAAACCTGTCTAAAAATCTGTGTTTCTTTTTCCTGTTATCTTCTGCAGGCCAGTTAGTTCTACGTCAGCCTGAACACCTAAATTCGGCCAATCAGATGTCAACGGTCATCTGTCAATCACATTTTTTTGGTCATAGCATCTTGATTCATGTGTCGCAGCTAATATACGCAAAGGTTGAAATCAGAATTATTTCCTTTCCCATTGAGTTGCGTCCCAGTGTTCACGGGGATGGACGTCTGTGTCTTCGGCAGGCGTAGAGCTAACAGAACTGGCGGCGTTGCGAGGCAAGGGCTCAAACATGTACGGCTGGAAGCCTTCTACACCAAACCAAGCTTCTGCCGCCCTGGCGTCCTCTTCCACAACATCTTCGTCCCCGCTTTCCTCCTCTAAATAAAAAATGGATGACGGAGGAGACTCATCCACGACCTCCGACACTAAACTCTCCTCCTCTTGCATGTTTCCTCTGTCCATAGCGTTCCTTGACAGCGTCGTTTCTAAGGCACCAATTTAGTGCTACTTGGTCCCAATGGAATTTCCCATTGGGAACCTGCTAGCACTAAGTTGCTAACTGGTTAGCAAGATGCTTCCGAGACACCGGCCGCAACCAAATGTGCTTGTGAACCTTCCGCCACAACAATCCCGCCCCCTTGGTAATCAACCAATCACATTCACTCGTATAAAGTCGTGCACCACTCGGGAGAATTCCGAAATGCAACGATTGGAATGGCCGCTTCCCTACGATTTTAAGAGCCTCCTTTAAGAGGTCCAAACAGACAGCAGCAAACCATTTGAAAACAAACCATGCAAAGAGCAGTGTTGCCAACTTAGCGCTTTAGTCGCTATATTTAGCCACTTTTCAGACCCCTCTAGCACTTTGATTTCTAAAAAGCTCCTAGCGCCAAATCTAGAGACTTTTTTCTGCTACTGGAAAATTTGGTGACAACATCTAAAAGCAGCGAACTCTGCTCTCCAGAGCGAGTAGATTGGTAACCCCGCCTCCTGCTCTCCTCTATCTTGTCTGCTGTCATGATTCATGCAGCTATTATTTCATCCAAATGAAAAATGGAGAACAGATAAGCAGATCATGGCTTGTCTACAGTGAAAAGAAGGACTGGGTTATTTACTTTGGCCTTTTTGGAAACACAGGAAGGAGCAATCAGCTAAGTGAGCTTAGTGCTTGGAAAAAATCTTTCATTCCTTTAGAGACAGCATGAAAAGTCAGCTGAGTACAAAACATAGAGAGGAAAACAAGAAGAGAGGGACACAACCTAGAACAGATAATGGATGTCTATTCTATTAACATTTCTCTATCTGTAGAATGGGTCTGATTTGTGGGTTGTCTTCTCCATTCAGAGGGCCCCCTGCCTGTCTTTGCCTATGGCCCCACATTTCCTAAATCCTCCCCTGGACTGTAGTCCATATTTCAGATTAAACTCTGAACTCTGGCTGAGATTAATCAAACCTAATCCTGAATATTTTTCAATCTCCTCTTCAGCTCTCATTGTGGAGGAAACTGACCTGTAATCCCTGCTGGACTCTGATGATGTTTGATCAGCTTCCATAGTTTCCTAATTAATCAATCAGCTTTCCCGTCGTATCGCTTAGAGCAGAACCAGGGAACAGATCCTGCTGGTTTGTCCTGTCATTTGATGAGCATTCGTTATCTTGGTTCATCTTCAGAACAACTGGGGATAAAATCTACAGATTAGAGTCTTTAACAGGTTGTCTGATCAGCTGATAGAACTCCCCATGAGGAGAGCAGCTATCTTAGGCTGAAGGAGATTTAGATCAACATGAAATATGAGATAAATAAAGTTTTATGAATCATGTTATTGTAGCTCAGCTGCTCCAAGTCATTGTTTGTGATCAATAATGAGGAGAATAGTAGAAACCAAACCTTCTACTGTCGTTCTTCTTCTAACGTTTTCCTGGGTGATAAAAGTTCAGAAGCGGGTCACCGGGTAAAGGACGGCTCAGGTTGTTCTGGGAAAATCTATCATTTTATTCTATAGAGCTGGACAGTTATTGTTTGGAGGCCCTGAATCAACATTTCTCTGCACCCTCCACCACATCTGACTGGGGGTCAGTCAGCCGGGTGTCGGACTGTCAGACGGGTCAGTCAGCCGGGTGTCAGACGGGTCAGTCAGCCGGGTGTCGGACTGTCAGACGGGTCAGTCAGCCGGGTGTCGGGATGTCAGACTCTTTTCTATACCGGGTAACTTCAGTATCTCCATTGCAGCTGAATAGAAGATCTGAAATGAACGATTTTACTTGATTTCCACTGATAGAAACTACTTTAGTTTGATTTATTCAGCATTTTTATTCACTCTGCTGTTTAGTGGATCTTTCTGCAGGCGTGAAGGAATAAACTAAACATTAAACATTCACATTTAAGACTTTAAAGATATAAAACAGTCTGTATGAGATTTTATTCCAGCCATGGGAACAATAATTGGTTGGTTTCGGGTTACGAGTCGACAGTTCTTCTCGCTGTGGATCCGTTTCAGCGGCGTTCTCTGGTGTTGAACTGTTACAGGAACCACTTCCTGTTTGTCCGCCTGCAAATCAAACGTCCTCCATCTGAGATGTCAGGTATTGTTTCTCCTGTTTCTACTCTCTCCTCCTCCAAACTTTGCCGCTGATCTTCTCCTCCCAGGTCTGAACGTCTGTATGAGCGGCAGCGCCACGTCCTGCGAGGAATGCCTCCTGATCAACCCCAGCTGCACCTGGTGCGCCCAAGAGGTGAATGACCGCCACCCTGCAGACACCTGTAGGGCGGAAATCTGTTTAGGAAGTTTGAACAAGCAGGCGAATCATTTTAAATGCAGTTTTTCTGGTTTAAGAAGCCTGTTTTTTTTTCAGAATCCTGAGTTTTTTAATATTTGATTCAGAGTCGGGAGCTTTTTCATCTCCAGATGTGGTTGTGATGTTTCTAGAAATGGAGGACGCTCTATGAAGCGTGTTTTAGATATAAAAGGTCTGACAGTGGTGCTCTAAAGCCAAAACAGAACGATCCAGTTTTCCCGATGGGGCAGAAGGGAAGGTAGTAGCTGCTTCAGCGGTGATGGAGTCCAAGATGGCCTCCTGAGCTGCAGCAGCAGGAGGAGGAGGAAGATGAAGAACTGTTCAGTTTAGAAACAAAAGTTGAATCAGTCGATTTATATCTATAACGCTAGCTGTCGTCTCAATGCCCGTTACAGAGGCGGTTAGTGGATCCAGTTGGATGAATCCACAACCAGTTAAATCTGCTGGTGAAGATTCTCAGTCATCCAGGTCAGAGTCATTCCAAAAAAGTTAAACAATCCACTGGACTTTGTTTCCAAATTTGAAGACGTTTCTCTTCCATCGAGGAACATTTTTCAATTCAAAATATCAGAAATAGTGTTGAGTTCCAGGTTTAATCCAGCAGCCCAACAAAGCCTGGTTTTTGTCTAGAAAACATGCAAATTGAACCAGACAAAGGGGTCCACCCCTTTGGAAAGGGGGTCGTTTGGCTTCTTTGTTAACCTGCAATGCTCCATACCTGCATTGATCTGCAGACGCTCCATTCATATTAGGTCTGGGGGTTTGTCTTTAGGATGCACTAGTCTCTGTTTAAGGGTCTGGTTAGGTTTGAGATGTACTGGGATTTTGTGTTTGGAGAAAATCGTCTCGAGTCTCCAGCAACATATGGGATAGAGATGTTTTTGCGTTAAATTTTCTCACCGTTATGTTCTGCTGCGGGTCTTTTACAGGTTTGAAGACTATCTTTAATGTTTTTCTGTTGTTTGCTCTTCCCTGTTTTAGTGCGGTCATGCTCTGCCCGGTGTTGGAAGGTTTTCTAATCCAAAACAAGCTTTTGTTTTGGTCTGCTGTATAAAACCTGGAACTCAACGCTATTTCTGACATTTTGAATTTAAAAATTTTCCTGGATGGAAGAGAAACGTCTTCAGACTTTGAAACAAAGTCCAGTGGATTGATTTTAACTTTTTTGGAATAACCAGTTGAACCCTCTATAAAAATACATTCAGTTCATTGATACTGGAGAAGATTAACAGAATAACAGAATTTTATTTATTGTTTCATAATAAGGAAAAAGTTTCAGAGAATCTTTAATCTGAAGAATAATTTGACGCATCTAGATATTTGACTTTTTCTCTTGATTCAGCTTAAAGCTAACCGGTAACTGTTAGCTTAATTCTCGATCTGTTCGACGTATCGATGCCCCCTGCTGGCAGGTTTCTTCTTCTTCTGTACCTTTATAGTCGGATTGCTGCTGCTTTCCGCTGTAGCTACCAGATCTGCTCGGTTCTGCTTCCTGCCGGTGACATTACGCTACCTGATTGGCTGAACGTTGCTCCATGATGTAAAACATAGTGGTTGCCAGGGCAACGGTAATAACATCATGCAGCGTCCGTGTGCCAAGTCAGCAGATTTGTAGCGTTAGCGTGTCTAATGACTGAAGTTTTACCGGATCGATAACAAAAGTGAAAAATAAATCAGTTTCTGGTGAACAAAGTAACTGTTAGACCGTGATATAAAGAGCTGGGTAGCGCTGTGGCTAGCTGTAGCTAACAGGTTAGCCTCTTTTAGCTCGCTCAGTTAGCCATATTAAGCTACACTACTTTTAAATTTGTGTCAACAACAACTGTTCGTTTTCTAAAAGTAGATTAATTGTTTTATTTGTCTAAAATCTTTATGAAAGTCATTTTTTAAGATGTGCCATTTGTCCTTCCTGTCCTCAGATATTAATAAAAAGAATAAAAATAAGCTGAGCTCCTGTTAGCGCTGAGCCTGAACGATCAGACATGTTCCTGCTGCTCTGATGGAGGAGGAACGTTTCCTCGCCTTAACCAGGAGCTCAGGGACTTGGCTACAGGCCAGTGGCCTTTAGGGGGCGCTAAACTGGTGCCTATTAGTTACATGGTGTTGCTATAGTTACTATTTAAGTCTGAGCCCAGAGTGCTGCTGTATCTACCCGACGATAATCGATGTGGCTCAGTGGTAAAACCTCATCGTAGCTCAGATTTCCAGTAATGGTTTAGATCTAGGAAGGCGTTTCTTTCTAAGATCTGATTTCTGTTGCTTCTGATCTCGCAGGACTTTGGGAAGCGGCGTTCTCTGACGTCACGATGCGATTTCAAGCAAAATCTGCAAAAGAGGGGCTGCGAGCCTCGCTTCATCGAATCTCCGAGGAGCGCGGCGTCCGTCCTGGAGAGCCGTCCCCTGAGCAGCAAGGGATCTGGGGCGGCGCACGACGTGGTCAGTATCACGCCTCAGAAGATCTCCCTCAGCCTGCGGCCAGGTAAGAACCGCCCGTGTGTAAAGGAAGCTCACGGCGTCCGTCTGTGCCTGACCCGGCTGACTCCGCCCCCCTGCAGGAGACCCCGTCTCGTTCAACCTGCAGGTACGGCAGGTGGAGGACTACCCTGTGGACCTCTACTACCTGATGGACCTCTCGCTGTCCATGAAGGACGACCTGGACACCATCCGTATGCTCGGCACCAAGCTGGCCGAGGAAATGGGGAAGCTGACCAGCAACTTCCGCCTGGGCTTCGGCTCCTTCGTGGATAAAAACATGTCCCCCTTCTCCTACACCGCTCCCAAGTACCAGGAGAATCCCTGCAACGGGTAGGAAGCAGCCTGCAAATCCACTCAGGCTGGTTTTATTTCCCCTGAAACTTTGCTTCCTGGTTTGAATTGGAAAAGTTTCCTGTTGATCCAATACCCCACTCCCTTAAAGAGACATATACCCCATTCACAGTACCCTTTCAAAAACCGTGCCGAGACCGGTCCGAGCTCAGTAACTGAGATAACTTATGGTGTGCAAATGGAAAGCAAACTGAACTGAACCAAGCTAGACACAACCGGACCGCGCTAACTGCAGACCAGTTCCAGAGGTGGGCTCGGCTCCGTTTTTCCCCTGGCTCGGTTCTCTGATAACAAGAGCGCATCAGCAGAAGGCGTCATCTCCGTCTGGCTGCACATCGCGATTCACACTCCATTCCACTAGTTGGCGGTAATGAGAACAACTTCTTCTTCAACTATAAACTACAATCGAAATCTTCTACACGCAACAGTTTAAATAATGGAATTTTAAATAACACCGAAGTACAGCAATAATAATCAAGCATTACTTTCTGACTGTGACGGGCGCCGCCATTTTGATTTGCTTGATTCCCTCCTTCTTCGTCTTCTTCTTCTGGTGTTTTATGGTGGTTGGCAAACAACTTTTGGTGCATAACTGCCACCAACTGCTTGATTTTCTCCTTTAATACTGGCAGTAAGGGGTGTAAATCACATCCATCATGGCGATTCGATTCAGTATCGATTTTCTGACCCAACGGTTCGATTATTTTCGATTTCTTTCTTTTTTTTTTTTAACACCTTACAGGCTAAACAAAGTTTCAAGTTTGAAATAAATCAATGAAAGCTTTAATATCATTATGCATTTTTTTTTTTTAGAAACAACAGCAAATAACAGAAGTAGAAAAGGTGAATCAAAAAATCCTGCAAAAAATCAGTGCAATGAGTGCAATGCAATACCTCGGCTCCAGACGTCCCGCCCCCTCCACAGACGCTCCGCTGCTCCTCTCCCAAATTGTAGCTGACCGCAGACAGGAGGCCGACTTGTTTTGTTTTTATGACCGAAATTACGGAAAATAACTCTCCGCTCTTTTTGGCCCTCATGTCCCTCCGTCGTCGGAGTAAACTCGCCCCCACTTCCTCGCCGCCTCGGCCGTATCTAGACCCACAGTGTGTAGCTCAGACCACGCTTCAATATTGAGCATAAATCAAAAATGTCTGCATCAAGCTCACTGCAACACACTGCTGTAAGAGTATAACCAGGAAGCGAGGTAGGAGGGCAAAATAGGTTTAGCGCCACCGCAGCACGGGAGGGAGAATTACGCCCAGGAGCAAATGGATAAAAATAGACCGGAGGAAAAAACAACATGAATCGATTCTCTTGCGGACGTACAAAACAATTATTATTTACAGCCCTATACCGCTGGTCGTCACTAGGAGGGGAGGAGTCGAGGAACCGAGATAGCATGATGTGTAAACGGTTGTCAGAACCGAGCTCGGCCTGGTTAACTGATCCGAGCTCGTACCGGTCTCGGCATGGATCATTTTTTCAAAGGTAGTGTAATTGGGCTATATGCAGGTATGGGGCACTGCAGTGCAGGCTAATAAAAGAAACCAAACGACCCCCATTCCAAAGGGGTGGATCCGTTCATCCATGTTTTCTAATCCAAATCAAGGCTTTGTTGGGCTGCTGGATAAAACCTGGAACTCAACTCTATCTCTAATATTTTGAATTGAAAAATCTTCCTGGATGGAAGAGAAACGTCTTCAAACTAGGAAACAAAGTTCAGTGGATTGTTTTTTATTTTTTATTTTATTTTTTTTTAAATTATAAATATACACTTGTTTACACATATACATACAACTACAAAGACATACACATATATATACACACATATACAACTACATCTATACATAGACACATACCTACACACATCCACATTTATTTGAGGGGGGGCAGAGGGATTGGGGGGGGTACAGAGTTTGCCATAATACACGAGGTAGAGAGGTCACTTATCAAGACAGTAACAGGTGCTTATTGTGTACGTTTTTGTAAATACATTTTCAGTGTGGGCCAAGGTCCAGACACTCTGGAATCTGGTTGATTATCAAGGATTATGGCGGCCTGTTGCATAGCAACCAATCCCAAAAAGTTGTTCCAATTCTGTACATCAAAACAATTATAGTTCCTTTCCTTCCAGTTCAGCAATATTCTACGTTTGGCTGCTAAAAAGCCCAGTGATATGATATAGTCCACATTCTTTGATGTAGAGTCTTAAGTCTTTGTTCCAAGTAGACAATCCAGAGGGCAAAGTGGTATTTCCATATCTAGTATATGAGACAATGTGTCAGTTATATTCCTCCAGAATGTTTGGACAGGCGGGCACTACCAAAGCATATGCAGCAGTGTGTCCTCTGACCCACAGCCATTCCAGCACAATTTACACTTTTCTTTGTCCTTTTTATTTAGAATATAAGGTGTAATATATGCTCGATTTGTTAGTTTGTGCTGTATTATTTTATACTTGACACATTTGGACATTTTTGTGCTTTTTTGTAGTGCTGCATGGATTGCTTTTTAACTTTTTGCGAATTAAAAATTTAAATTTGGTCATTTACTGGATTACATGTTTATGTCCTTCTGTCTGCTGTAGGTCATAGGATGATATTCTGCTGATTATACATTATTTCCCTTTATTAGATGAAGTGTTTTTGATCCAGCATTTCATTATTTTGCTCTCAGACATGGTTTCATTCTGGTTGTCGTTTGATTAATCCCCCCTGATGTCTCCCTCTCAGATACAAGCTCTTCCCAAACTGCGTCCCCACCTTCGGCTTTCGTAACATCCTCTCTCTGACCGATAAAGTGGACCGCTTCAACGAGGAGGTGCAGAAGCAGCTGGTGTCGCGGAACCGGGACGCTCCGGAGGGCGGGTTCGACGCCATCCTGCAGGCGGCCGTTTGCAAGGTGGGTGAGTTTGGTGACAGACAGGAAGCAGAGTCTGGTGCAGCTGGAGGACGAGTCGCTCACAGGCCCGGTCACATCCCGCCTTCCTCCCCCACTCTAATTGTTTTCTAAAGGAAGACAGCAGCTTGCCTTGTAATTTACTTGAGCTGCTGTCTTTCAAATAGCGGCTGGTTGATGGTGGAGCTAAGCCTGGTGGTCCGTTTTAGTTCTCTGCACTGGAAAAACGATCTAGTTTCTTAAATTAAGTGTATTTACCCTTAATTTGAGTAGGTAAATGAGATAGTTTGCCAATGGAAAGAGTATTTTCACTCTTAAAATAAGATAATTAGATAAAATGCACTAGAAATAAGACGATGCAATTCCGTTTTCTTGTTTAAAGTGTAAATTGTCTTGTTCCATTGGCAAAATGTCTCTTTTACCTCCTCAGTCCAAGAAAAATGCACTTATTTTAAGGAATAAAATAACTTATCTAGATAAAAAATTTTCCAGTGTAGCAGCAGAAATGCAGCTTAATTCTTCCAAACTTGTACATTTATCCCCATTAAAGTAACTGTTGCATTCAGGGACAATCTCAGGCAAAGCCAGATTAAAACGATCTCAGCATCGTTATCTGCTGAGGTGCTGCTTTCCATCTTTATCTCTTAGTTTATCTGCAAACTTAGCAAAGTTTATCACGGAGGAAGCAGAAACGTCTCCTGGTTTGGCTCTGAGCTCCTGGAGGCGGATTTTCTCCCTTAGGTAGAAAAGCACAGATTGTCTCACTGAACTCAGCAGCAGGAAAACATGCATCCAGGGCCTCCTGCTCCTAAATCCCCTCTGTTACAAGCAGAGGCCTGCTATATAAATGAGGTCAGTGTGGGATTCTGGAGTTTTAGAATGATAGTTTTAGTTTTTTATCTCCTATCTCCTATTTAGGTTCATTCTTCTGGTTTGTCCAAAACGGTCGACTGTTTTCAGTCGACCGAATGTATTCATTATCCTTTTATAGGCCACTCATTTGAAAAGCCAAATTTCAAGCCAATAGTGTTATTGGAATCCAGGACAGACCTTATTACCTTTGTAACATTAAAAAAATATGGATATTTTGATGGCAAAAATCAATGTCAATGTAATAGTTTATAAGTTATTATTGATAATTTTCTTCATCTCCCCCTCCCCCCAGGTTAAAGGAATAGTACACCCAAAACATGATTAGCCTTCATTTTTTAATCACCCCCATGCTGAACAACACTCTGGAGTACTTTTTTGATATCTCAAATGCATCTGGAGATCTGGGAGGCTTCTTGCTGTCTGCTGACATTCAAATAATGGAGGTCTATGGCGCCCGAGGCAGAAAGGTCCATAAAAGTCCACAAAAAACGTGTCAATATTCCTCCATACTGCTAGTCCAATGTATTCCAAGTGTCCTGATTGGGTAGCGTCCATAATTTACTCGAAACGAAGTCATTTAGAATGTTTTTAGAGCATAAACAGTAGTGTATAGGATTTCCTAAAAGCGCGTTCACGAGTCTACGGAAACCGCGGCAGACCAAACCAGATGAAAGTGCGCATTCAGCTCGGCAAAGAACTCCTGCTCTTCCTCAACACTGAAGTCCTCAGACATTTTTCTTTCGTTGTTTCTTTCTTTGCACAGGTAAACAGCACATTTCTTCTTCTACGCTTGCATTATCGGCAGAGCAGACGCTGAATGCGCACTTTCATCTGGTTTGGTCTGCCGCAGTTTCTTTTTTTTTTTTTTTCTCTCTTCCTCGGTGGGGGGGAGCGGTGGCGGGCGGGTCGGTGTCTGGTGTCCGCTGTCGCATTGTGGGGGCTCCTTTTTTTTTTTTTTTTTTTTTTTTTTTTGGGGGGGGTTTGGCATGTCTGTTTTCTCGGGGGGCGGGCGGGCCTGCTGGGTGGGGGTCCTGCTGGCGGCGCGCCGCTGGTGTGGGGGTCCAGGCGGCTCCGGCGGGGGTGGTGTTGGGGGGCCGGTCTGGGCGGGCCGGCTGCGCTGGCTGGGTATTCGGGTGGGTTTTCCCTCCTGGAGGCATGGCGGTCTGCCGCAGTTTCTGTAGAGTCGTGAACCCGCAGGCGCGCGCTTTTAGGAAATCCTATACACTACTGTTTATGCTCTAAAAACATTCTAAATGACTTAATTTCTAGTAAATTCTGGATGCTACCCACTCAGGACACTTTGAATACATTGGACGAGCAGTATGGAGGAATATTGACACGTTTTTTGTGGACTTTTATGGACCTTTCTGCCTCGGGCGCCATAGACCTCCATTATTTGAATGTCAGCATACAGCAAGAAGCCTCCCAGATCTCCAGATGCATTTGAGATATCAAAAAAGTACTCCAGAGTGTTGTTCAGCATGGGGGTGAGTAGAAAATGAAGGCTAATCATGTTTTGGGTGTACTATTCTTTTAAGAGTCTGGGGCCCTGTCCAGACAAAGTCAAAACGAACACGAAACGCTAATATTTTCCAGAACGTTTGTCGTAAAGACGGAGACGTAAAATAAATGTGATCGACAACATGAATGCATGAAAACGCTGCAAAATGTATGCCAGGCCTGTAAGTGGCGCTGTGGCGCCAAAGCAAAAATAGGTGAAAACAGGCAACGAAATGTTGGGCATGCGCACTAATATTTATACATGGTTGCCCTGCGGGTCCATTTTCGTGGTTCAGTCAAATTCAGGTGCTGAACTATGTGGTCGATATTGCTCTGTTCTTCCTGGAGATATTCCAGAAGAAGAAGATTCTGTTGTAAGCCCGACAGCAGGGTGAGTAGCATGAGCAGCAACCATTCAACACAGTACGGCGCCATTGTTGTTGTGATACTGTGTCGCGCATGCGTGTTTAGAGGCGACGCTATGATGCACGCTTGTAAGAAAAAAAAATGCGGTTGGAGATTAAAGATGGAAACGCGAAAACGGCGTTTCAAAATCTTCCCACTCTGAAGGCTTAATAAAAAAAGATTGTTTACAGACCCCCGAAAGGCCGGCTTCGTGTGGATGAGAGGCTGGTTTGGTGAAAAATTTATGCCTTTAGGCCAGGGTTTGACTTCATGTGGACGGGGCCTGGGTGTCATCCTCGATATCACGCTATCTTTCCAATCCCATATAAATAACATTACCCGCTCTCTACTCTCTCTACCACCGCTACTTAGCAACACAGACTCAATTCTCCATTTTAAAATGCAACTCAAACTCATCTGTTTAAGATTGTGTATTCTCTTTAAATATCAGTTTCACTGTCACAGACTCTGTATTTTTTAAATGTTTTTATTTTGTTTCTGACACTGTGTTTTTTATGCTTTATGTATGGTGACCTTGAGTGTCTAGAAAGGCATCTTTTAAATAAAATGTATTATTATTATTATTATTAATAACAAGAAACGCCAACTTGCCCGAATATATTAAGAAAAATTACAAAAGTGCTTCCATAAGAAATTCATGAAAAACACTGAGAGTGAAAGAAACACATTTTCTTTGGTCCAACTTTACCTTAGAGGCAGTTACCCCTTGCTCACACTGGCTCCGGTGCGGTTACCGAGCCGACGGAGACCGCAACTCCCGCACACCCACTCTCACACCGCCCTTTTGACTACGGTGCGGTGCGGCTCTGCGGCTCCGGCAACAGGTCCGGAGATTTAACTCGCGAGAACAGAAGTTCACTTGAGTTCACGTAACTTCACGCGATAACACAGGCCAAATAAGGATATTTGCGAGAGCTTGTTGCGGAGGGCTCCGGCACGCCGCAAGGATAGCTTTCTTGCGGAATTTCTCGGTAACCGCAGCCGGACAGCTCAGCAGCCGGTGAGAGAGGTTTATGTCTTTTTAATGACTTGGAATCACTGCGGCGCCGCACCCACCGCACCGCAACGGTAAGACCGGAGTCGGTGTGAGCCTGGGGTAATGCTGTAACCTGACTCCGCCAGATGGATTTGCTCCGCATATCCATCTGGAAACCTTCTGTTGAAGTAATTTTGGGAAGGGGCGAAAATACTGGTTAGCTGATTGGCCTATGTTGGTGATAGACGGGCCAAATAAACCAATCAGATCAACGAAGCATATGACGTACTAACAGAGCGATGACGAAGAGGAGCCAATTGATAGATCAAACTCTTGCCGAAACCAGTCGGGAGAAGAGCAAAAACATCTTTTCCTCTGAGAAAAGCCTCCAGAGCAGTGTTTTGCTCTTCTTTCAGTGAAGAAATACTCTGTAATTCCGATAAAACTTGCTCGATAGCCACGCTAACGCTAGTTTCATCGGCTGAAGCCGCCATGTTCTTTAGACTGAACTGTCGCGCTTCTTGTTGCGTCACAACTCAACCCGCCTCAAAGCCAACGCTGATTGGACGTTCGTTTGGTGAACGGCTCCAAATTTTCTTCAACTGAGAGTCTCCAGACTGATTAGCGAGTGAAACCTTGAAAGCTCGCGAGATCAGGATGGTCTCACGAGGCTATTAATGCTGATGCTGGCACTTACATTTTTTGTTTATAAACCTAAATATTATTGTTAACGGGGCTTATTCACTTTTTAACTTTTCAATTAGCTTTTTTTTTTCTTGAATTGTTAACTTTTTTCCAACTTCATTTCCAGTAGGTAATCTATCATTCAAGGGCTCATCTAATTGGTCAAATGCCAAAATATGATGTTCAGCCATGTAGCAGGATCCTTGCTGAATGGCTGGATATAGATCTAGTGCTTCTAGACCTCACTGAGGGACGGGGGGGGGGACTCCATTTGTAATGGGTATGCAAGTGATCAAAAACTGTAACTTTCCCTATAAAGGGTTACGAAATTTCCACATTTCCAAATTCTCCCTGTTCCATTAATGGCGGATTAGACTTCTGTAGCCACAAACTTCAAATGTCGCCTAGTTCTGGTAGCGAACCAGTTTTGCTGCTATGCTTCTGCGACGTCTGTGTGGAATCTCTAGGGACGTACAGCAGTTTCCGCAAGGGGGAGCCTATTCGAGAACTCGCGAGAACTTCAACGGATCGTACTCCCGAAGCTCCTCGCTCAACCTTTCGTCGTAGTTGTCCATTGTAGTTGTTCCTCGGTTTTAAAAAAATGGTGGGCCCCGGCACTGAATCGAGAATGATGACCAAGTGCGGAAAGGGATTCCAAGGACCAATCATGACCATCTGACGCGTAGTCGCGCACAGAGACAGATTTGATGGTTGCAGAGGCTTTGCGTCAGAAGCATAAATCGGCCTTTAAAGATGAAGGTCAAAGATGCAAACTCACTTTATAAAATAAGGTTATTTACATCAATCATCCATCCTGATGGAGTTTAGTTTCCCTTTTTTGAGCCTTAATAGAATTTCAGCACCGGATACTATGAGATGTGGCGCCATCTGCTGGCAGAACCACAGAACTACCAGAAAACCAGATGGCGATAAAAGAATATTCCCTGACTGTCCTTCAATGCCTTGTAGCAAATCGACACTTGTTTGAAGACCAATCAAATTATCTACGGAAACCAGAACCTCCTATCAGAACATCAAAGAGAAGGAAAGTTCGTGTTTCTTAACAAACGCAAACAGGCAAACGGCGTCTCAATAGGAACTAATCAACCAGTCGGTTTATCTGTTATCTGTATGGAGACCGTAAAGCGTTGCTATCATTGTTAGCAGCTCTAACACCGACGTTCAGACTGGATTCCCAGAGCTGGAAGCTGCTAACTGGCTTAGCCACATTGCTTCCTTGTGTCTGCACACATGCTCAGTTTCATAACTGCAGTTGCTCCATCTTATTGTAAATATTCCACTCATAGCTTTTTTTTTTTTATTTATTTTTTTTTTTATTACTAATAAACTGAGCAAGAAAAGTGTAAAGCACTTAAAAAAGACAAAACGCAAGCCGGACGCGTTAATCATTCAGAATAACATCAAAAGCAAGCAGAGTGAGTTACTCTCACGTTTTGGTTGTGGTTTAGAGGTGCCAAATGCAGAGGCAGAGAGGCTGAGGTGAATTAGTTTTATAGTTTTAGTGAAAATTAGTGAAATAGTTTTTAATGATGAAAATGGTTAACAAAGGCAGGAATTCAAAAATCCAACAAAAAATGTAACAGACCATAACCATGGAGACATCAAGGGAAAACGCGCACAAGGAGCCAGGGAGAGACGAGGTGAGAGGACAACGGCAACGACAGGACCAGCAACAACAAGGAACCAACCAGGAGTGACTGCAGAGGGAGAGCATATGTAGCTGACTGAGACAAAGGCTGGGCTAACGAGCTGACAAGGAGCAGGTGTGAGGGAGCCAAGGGGAAAGGAACACACAAGAGGGCAACAGAGGACAACAGAAAAACTAGAGAACTAACATAAATCTAGAAACTACAGCAAAGTAGGAATTCAACCAATAAAACTAGAAAACAAGGAGCAAAGTAAAGCACAACAGAACCAAAACCATGACAGTTACTGCCGAATGAATTTAAAGGATGTTGTATAACGTAACTATACAACTTTTAAAGTTCGGTGAATGGAGCTGAGCAGCTGTGCTGGGCCCCCATTTAGCCGGGCATACACACTGCGATATTTTAAATCGTTGCACTCAGCTACAGCTCAAACCGACGAAACCTGAGCATAAACCAGGCCTCAGCTCTGCAGTGAGATGGTGCTACTCGGACTCGTCTATCCGGAAGCCAAACGAGTAGAAGAGGAACATGAAGCTCACTAGAGTGAAACGCGCTGCCTTGGATATTTGTCTAATTTGGTGTTGAAAGCCCTAAAAAGAAAAGGAGACGGCGTATTTGGACAAAGACATGGCTGAGCAAACATGGCTACTACGGTCTGTCAGTTTTACAGAAAGAACTCCATTTCCCTCATTGCACCCCAGCCATGCTGCTGGGTTTTCCTCAGACAAGAAGAAGAAGAATCCTTGTTGCCCACTGAGCGATTTTCCCACGACCACCTTACGATGGCCGACTGAATGTCAAACATGTTTGATTTTCTCCCGACCTTACGATTCCTGATGGGGAGGTGGTCGTTGGAGGCTGATCGCTCTTCGTTGCCCCCTGTACACTACACCACGCACCATCAGGCTCAAAAAATTCTTGCACGACTGGAGAATGGGCTTTATGCACAGCTCTACTACTTCCTGAATTTAAGGTAGCTCCTTTGTTTCCTGTCTTTCATTACTGGACGAACTGATTAATCCAGGTGTGTCTGGCCAGTTACTTAGGTCATACACACTTGGATTAATCAGTGCATCTAATCATGAAAGACAGGAAACAAAGGAGCCTCCTGAAGTTCAGGAAGTGGCGGAGTTGTGCATAGAGCCCAAAAAGGCCAAAAAAATCGTACAGTTTATGCCCGACTTTAGCCTTCCTGTTTCCTTCACAGTTCTCTCTCACCATCCTGCAGCCTCAATCAGCCACGGAAACCTTCCCTCTGTAACATCCTCCACACCTCAGTGTGTTAATGTCAGCTGGCCTCGTAGGTTTGTGCGTGTTGAGTTCACTGATTGGATAAGCATGGGATTTTAGAGTTTCCACAGTCGGAGGATGATGAAAAACCCGTTCTAAGCTTCAAGACGTCAGCTGCTCTGATTCCTCCTCCAGACTTTCACACTTTCTGATTTATTAACCAAAGTACATAAAAGTTTTATTGGCCTCTCAAACTTTGTAGAATAATAAAAAGAGTGGGAAGATGTAGACTTGAATAGAAATGATTAGATAGATGGGAATAGCAGCATCACAGCGCTGCTTCCCTCCAACACAAGCAGTGTTTGTGTTCAGAGGCTGCGGGTCAGCCGCCCGGCGCTCTGAGAACTTTACAGAATGAACAAAGAGGCGCCTAAAGGGCCTCTCTGCTGATTGGATGCAACCATTGTTTCCATGCCATAATGGCCGGACCGGGCCTTTTGTAGAACTGTGTGGGTCTGTGTGTTCGGGTCGGTTCTCAGGCTTCCAGAAAGAAAGAAAGAAAGTGTCAGTTTGAGTTAAAAGGAAACTAAAAGGTTTAGTTATTTTTCTTTTATCTGTTCCTCCTTTGATAACACTCTCTGATTTTAACCCCCCTCCCCCACCTGTTTGGCTCCAACAGAAGGAAATCGGCTGGAGGAAGGAGGCCTCGCACCTGCTGGTGTTCGCCACAGACGACGTGCCGCACCTCGCTCTGGACGGTCGGCTGGGAGGACTGGTCCAGCCACACGACGGCCGCTGTCACCTTGACGACCAGAACGAGTACAGCGCCTCCACAAAGATGGTGAGAGGATTTGGTGGTTTATGTGGGCCCTGGTTCGGTTCCTTCGTCCCATGGATCCAACATGGCGGCAAACAACAAGCTAATCGGTCGTAGTGATGTAACTTAGGGGTCATTTTAGACACCTGAGGGGTACGTTCAAGTTACCTCGTAGTTTGGAAGAAGTGACGTAATCTACGAGGCTTCTGGACGCTCCTACTGTATTCTCCTACATTCCCATATGGTCACAGGGTTAAAAATTATTAAATATTTTATCATCATAAACATTTAAAAATAATTCCAAAAAAGTAAAAAAAAACAAAAAACAATCGTCTGGACTTTGTTTCTTAGTTTGAAGATGTTTCTCTTCTATCCAGGAAGCTTTTTCAACTCAAAACGTCAGAAATATTCTTTAGCTCCAGGTTTTATAGAGCGAACCAAAACAAAAGCTTGTTTTGGATCAGAAAACCTTAGAACACAGAGGCGAGCATGTCCCAACTAAAACATGGAAGAGCAAACAACTAAAACACATTAAAGATAGTCTTCAAACCTGTAGATACCCAAACTGGGCGTTTGTCAAATCAGCAAGGAAATCTAAAAGACCCACAGCAGAACATAACGGTGAGAAGATTAAATGCAAAAACATCTCTATCCCAGATGTTGCTGGAGTCTCAAGACTCAAGAGGATTTTCTCCAGACACAAAATCCCAGAACATTTCAAACTAAACAGACCCTTTAACAGAGACTTGCATCCTAAAGACAAAACCCCAAGACCTAATATGAGCGGAGCGTCTGCACATCAATGCAGGTATGGAGCATTGCAGGTTAACAAAGAAGCCAACGACCCGCTTTCCAAAGAGGTGGACCCATTTATCTGTCTCTATTTGCATCGATACGTCCGCAAGAGAATCGATTCATGTTTTTTTTTTTCCTGCGATCTATTTTTATCCATTTGCTCCTGGGTGTAATTCTTCCTCCCATGCTGCGGTGGCGCTAAACCTATTTTGCCCTCCTACCTCGCTTCCTGGTTATACTCTTACAGCAGTGTGTTGCAGTGAGCTCGATGCAGACATTTTTGATTTATGCTCAATATTGAAGCGTGGTCTGTGCTACACGCTGTGGGTCTAGATACGGCCGAGGCGGCGAGGAAGTCGGGGCAAATTTAGTCCGACGACGGAGGGACATGAGGGCCAAAAAGGGCGAAGATCCAGGTGGAAAAAGGTCCCAGCGTTCTCATGCACCTCACTCTTCTAGCTGGTCAAACTTCACGAGTTGTTTTCCGCAATTTCGGTCATAAAAACAAACCAAGCCGGCCTCCTGTCTGCGGTCAGCTACCATTTGGGAGAGGAGCAGCGGAGCGTCTGTGGAGGGGGCTGGACGTCTGGAGCCGAGGTTTTGCATTGCACTCATTGCACTGATTATGTGCAGGATTTTTTGATGCAAGCCTTTCAGAATCTATAACCCAGGGGGATTATTATTTTTCAGTGAATGAGGTTTAATAGGAATAGGTGGAGTGCAACTTTTCTACTTCTGTTATTTGCTGTTGTTTCTCCAATAAAATCCATAATGATATTACAGCTTTCATTGATTTATTTCAAATTTGACACATTGTCTAGCCTGTAAGGTGTAGAAAAAATCGTTGGGTCAAGATATCGATACTTAATCGAATTGCCATGATGGATGTGATTTACACCCCGAGACCTAATCTGAGCGGAGTGGTGTCTGCAGTTCAATGCAGACAAACAATGCAGACAAACAACCTCTCCACAGACACATGGCCCAACACAGAAGAGCGCCCTCCTCTGGACAAGACTCTGCGGTACATCTACACCTGATGGACAAAGGTCATTCTTTTGAGGACAAGAATGCTCGGATTTCAGCTTTCAGAAAACTAAAATGCAGCAATAGAGTTGATTTCCTTCCCGCTATCATCGCAGCCCCAACCCCTTTACAGGGGAACAGAAGACCTCGCCTATTCAGCCAACAATTCCCTTTAAAGACCCCCTTTCAGAGACATAGACAGGTATGGGCTACTGCAGGCTAACAAAGGCTACGTTCAAACAGCACCCTGAAGTGACCCAAATCCGATATTTTTGTCCATATGCGACCTCTATCTGATCTTTTTATGATAGTCTGAGCAACACAGATCGGATGTTTTCCACTGCGATCCAGGCCACTTGGCTCTTTGGTCCTGAATCTGGTACGATTCTGATCTTTTCAAATGCAACCTGTACGCCATTAATACCCGACAAAGGTCACTATTCTGCGTCTTGCTACGCAGAAGCAGGAAGAAAACCAAACACCATGGTAGACGATGATGCAGAGAGCAGTATTTATGTTTAACCATCTTGAAAAGATTGAGTTTTTAAGGTTGGAAAAGATCGCTAGATGAGCTCCGGCGCTACCATCCATGTTTACCTCCGTAAACGAAGAGCATGCTGGCTTGTGACGCCATTACGTCCTCCACTGCGCATGCTGGATACTTGCCTTGTATGAATGCAGTTCACACAGGAGATCACATACAGGTTGCATATATTTGGAAATGCGAACGGCAACGCAAAAAAATAGATTTAATAAAAAAATTTGGAATTAAGCATTAAAGTCGTAGGGAAGTGGCTGTTCCAACCGTCGCATATCCGAATTCTCCCGAGTGGTGCCCGACTTTACACGAATGAATAAAGTGAATGTGATTGGTCAATTATCAAGGGGGCGGGACTTTCGTGGCGGAAGGTTCGTAAACAAGTTTGGTTGTAGCCGGTTTGTCAGAAGCATCTTGCTAACCAGTTAGCAACTTAGTGCTAGCAGGTTCCCAATGGGAAATTCCATTGGGACCAAGTAGCACTAAATTGGTGCCTTAGAAACGACGCTGTCAAGGAACGCTATGGACAGCGGAAACATGCAAGAGGAGGAGAATTTAGTGTCGGAGGTCGTGGATGAGTCTCCTCCGTCATCCATTTTTTATTTAGAGGAGGAAAGCGGGGACGAAGATGTTGTGGAAGAGGACGCCAGGGCGGCAGAAGCTTGGTTTGGTGTAGAAGGCTTCCAGCCGTACATGTTTGAGCCCTTGCCTCGCAACGCTGCCAGTTCTGTTAGCTCTACGCCTGCTGAAGACACAGACGTCCATCCCCGTGAACACTGGGACGCAACTCAATGGGAAAGGAAAGGATTCTGGTTTCAACCGTTGCGTATATTAGCTGCGACACATGAATCAAGATGATATGACTGAAAAAATTTTATTGACATCATTGATTTGCACTGTTGGGCACGTTACTTTGAAAAAGTAATTAGTTATAGTTACTAGTTACTTCTCCCAAAAAGTTACTGAGTTACTCCACAATAAAAGTAACTAGTTACTAGTAAAAGTAACTATTGCGTTACTTTTGCGAGTGTATGAAATCAATAACTGGGGATGTCTAATTCTGAAATCCTGTGTTTGGGTTGTTATAGATACTGCAACATGTAGCTACATCCATCCGTCCGTCCGGACGGACGGGGTGTCGGCAATTGTAACTGCGTTATAGTCACAGTAAGAGTAATAATTTTGATTACTCTTTACTAAAAAAAGGTAGCGGCGTTAATAACGCCGTTACTTTCAACGCCGTTACTCCCATCACTGTTGATTTGACATTTAAATATGACTTTAAGGCCTGCAGTGTTAATGTAGCCAAAGAAGTCAAATGACCCCCATTCCAAAGGGGTGGACCCGTTCCTCTGGGTCAATTTGCATGTTTTCTAAGCCAAAACAAGGCTTTGTTTTCGGTCCACTCTATAAAACCTTGAACTCAATGCTATTCATATTTTGAATTGAAAAATAAATCTTCCTGGATGGGAAGAGAAATGTCTTCAAACTTGGAAACAGAGTCCAGTGGATTGTTTTTTAATTTTTTTGGAATAACTATGACCTGGATGACTGAGAATCTTTAACAGCATTAAAAATAATCCGCCTTAATGAGACACTCAGGTCTAGGAGCTGCTTCCATCTTGATCCAGACTGTCTTTGAAATTTAGTGAAGCTGACTGGATGCATAAAATTTTTTATCAGAATAAAGGAAAGGGTTCCTTTATTTCAGCTTATTGCATTTAATCCCAATATAAACTGAAATTTCCAGTATTAATGAGGCATCAAAGAAGCAAAGCTTGTTGAGAAGACATGAAATCCAGCAGTCTGTGGTTGTGATCATTTCTTTGAAAGGTCAAAGGTCGCCTGCAGGCTTTAGGAGCATCCAGCCACCTCATCTGTCCTGGCGTGTAAATCCTTGGCAGCACATGTGGATCAAACACCAACTGTTGCTCTCCCTCTTCTCCCTCTGCAGGATTATCCATCCCTCGCTCTGCTTGGAGAGAAACTGGCAGAAAACAACATCTTCCTAATCTTCGCAGTGACCAGACGCTTCTACGTTATTTATAAGGTTTCTTTCATCCCCTTTTTCCTTTTCTTTTTTCATCAGTTTGAGCTTCGCTGAAATATTTGCATTTGCTTCATGTTTCCCAGAACATTACAGCTCTGATACCTGGAACCAGAGTGGAGAACCTGGACCAGGACTCCAAGAATGTCATTCATCTGATTATCCACGCCTACAACGTGAGTGAAGAACGTCTGGCTTCCTGTTTTTGTTTGTGCTGCTCTGCTGAGGGAAGAATCCATCTGATAAGAGAAGCAGGGAAGCAGAGTGTCCTACCTCAGCCCAACGTTTCTCCTGATCTGAGGAAAAGATCCAGCAAACCCAAAGAAACCTGATGACGGTCTTCCTGCTTAACATTGTATTCCTGAATTTAATCCGAAATCTCTTTAGTCCGGCTGTTCCTTTAAGATGGAAGCATCTCTGTTCTTATTAGAAATGCAAACAATTCAGTTCAGTTTATATTTAAAGCACAAATTCACATCACATGTCATCTCAAGGCAGTTTCCAGTTCACCAGATCATCCAGTCAGATTGATTCAAAGTTTTCTATCTAAGGAAAACCAGCTGATTGCATCGACTCATTGACTCTTCAGCAATCCCTCACACTAAGCATGCTTGTAGCAACAGTGGAGAGGAAAAACTCCCTTCCCTGAACAGGAAGAAAACCTCCAGCAGAACCAGGCTCAGTGTGAGCGGCCATCTGCTGAGGCCCACTGGGGTTCAAGGAGACAGAAGCAGACATAGAAAAAGAAGCACAGACCTCTAAATACTTTTTATGTTAGAAACGGTGGCTCTGTCAGGGAATGAAACTGTTAATCTGACAAGATCTTAGCCAGTTTTCAAAGGATAAAAGAGAGCACATCCAGTTAGTCACAGTCAGAGAAACTGGACTAAACACTGAAAAACAGGCCAAGCTCCAACATCTAGAAACAAAGGTGTTGATGGCAGCAGCACAGCTGATATTTCTCTCCAGGATGGAGTCACAGCCAAACAGGAACAGACCAGATGAAGCTACTATGAGGAAAAGCAGAGGGAGCAAAACGTTAGAGATTGAAGTCCCAGATTGCATTTAATGAAGAGATTTTCATGAGGCATTTGGAAGGAGGAGCAGAGCCTCCCTCCATGTTTTCCGGTGTGGGTGTGAAAACATCTCCCCGGCTGCAACAAGCCGCCTTTATTATGTCCTCAGATGTGTGTCAGAGGCGGAGCCGTCCGCTGTGAGCGTGATCTTTGACACAAAGGCATTAACATTCCAGCTGCCATGTTGTATCATCCAGCCTGAGGGTGACTGGCTGCAGCAGCTTTGTGCCGCCGTCTCAGCTGGACCCGTTCAGGGTCAGAGACGCTTCTGCACGGCTCCTCCACAGGCGTGGGAATCTTACATGCTGCTAATTGCAGCATGCAGCCTGCTTCCTCGCGTGCCGCTCATAGCTGTGTTGAAATGGAGAGAGAAAAATGTATCGAACCAGAGAAACTCTTCCCTCATGTCTCATTCTTTCTGCTCTGTTATGCAACCAGAGACGCACAACCATAAACAATGAGGGTGGAAGAAACGTTGACATTTCAGCTGAAAGTCATCTTCTGTATCCGTTTGTCCACAGAACATTCGCTCCAATGTGGAACTGACGGTGTTGGACCATCCTGAGGACATCAGCCTGTCCTTCACTGCCACATGCCAGGAGCAGAAACCGCAGCCAGGCTTCAGGAAGTGTTCAGGCCTGAAGATAGGAGACACTGTGAGTCCTTTTCCTGTGTTTATAAGCCAAACACCCCCACAGCTCATGAGAAAGGCCTCATTTAGCAGTGGAGAACCACTTTCTTGGCTAAATATTACACCACACCATGACTAGTGTGTTATTTAACGTTGTAGAGAAACGGCCGTTCCATCCGTCTCATTTCTGAATTCTCCCAGTGGTGCACGACTTTACACGAGTGAATAAAGTGAATGTGATTGGTTTTTATCAAGGGGGCGGGATTGTTGTGGCGGAAGGTTCACAAGCAAATTTGGTTGTAGCCGGTTTGTCGGAAGCATCTTGCTAACCAGTTAGCAACTTAGTGCTAGCAGGTTCCCAATGGGAAATTCCATTGGGACCAAGTAGCACTAAATTGGTGACTTAGAAACGACGCTGTCAAGGAACGCTATGGACAGAGGAAACATGCAAGAGGAGGAGAGTTTAGTGTCGGAGGTCGTGGATGAGTCTCCTCCGTCATCCATTTTTTATTTAGAGGAGGAAAGCGGGGACGAAGATGTTGTGGAAGAGGACGCCAGGGCGGCAGAAGCTTGGTTTGGTGTAGAAGGCTTCCAGCCGTACATGTTTGAGCCCTTGCCTCGCAACGCTGCCAGTTCTGTTAGCTCTACGCCTGCTGAAGACACAGACGTCCATCCCCGTGAACACTGGGACGCAACTCAATGGGAAAGGAAAGGATTCTGATTTCAACCGTTGCGTATATTAGCTGCGACATATGAATCAAGACGCTATGACCGAAAAAATGTGATTGACAGATGACCGTTGATATATGATTGGCTGAATTTAGGTGTTCAGGCTGACGTAGAACTAACTGGCCTGCAGAGGATAACGAGAAAAAACCTACAGATAATAAGAGAGGATTTTTTTTTTAAATAGAAATTTTCTTTCTTTTGGGACAATATGGTCAAATAAAGAGTACATTTATATACATGTTTAAGCCAGAATGATTTGACTTTTAAATATGATTTCCCTACAACTTAAATAGCTCTGAAAACAATACTATTTGTAATTATTCATTGATTTTATTGATCTCACAGTGGATAAATTTACTCATTTCATCGGCTCAAATAGTCAAAAAATTTTATATGAAATTAAATCCCCGATGTTGCTGCTATTTTCAAATATCCATTACTGTAGAAATGTCCATAGCTGCATATTGGTTATTTATTCTCCAGGTGAACAGTTTTTATATTGTTAAAACACTTTTACAATATTTTATTGTTTATATTTTAATTCTTCACTATTAGGTCATTCTTATACATTTTTCTAATGTCTACATTTGTGTGACCATTTTATTCTATAAACTTTTTGCTGCTTTAAACACCAGAATTACTAGCCTCGTGAGACCATCCTGATCTCGCGAGCTTTCAAGGTTTCACTCGCTAATCAGTCTAGAGACTCTCCGTTAAAGAAAATTTGGAGCCGTTCACCAAACGAACGTCCAATCAGCGTTGGCTTTGAGGCGGGTTGAGGTGTGACGCAACGAGAAGCGCGACAGTTCAGTCTAAAGAACATGGCGGCTTCAGCCGATGAAACTAGCGTTAGCGTGGCTATCGAGCAAGTTTTATCGGAATTACAGAGTATTTCTTCACTGAAAGAAGAGCAAAACACTGCTCTGGAGGCTTTTCTCAGAGGAAAAGATGTTTTTGCTCTTCTCCCGACTGGTTTCGGCAAGAGTAGCCTGGCTGTTAGTACGTCATATGCTTCGTTGATCTGATTGGTTTATTTGGCCCGTCTATCACCAACATAGGCCAATCAGCTAACCAGTATTTTTGCCCCTTCCCAAAATTACTTCAACGGAAGGTTTCCAGATGGATATGCGGAGCAAATCCATCTGGCGGAGTCAGGTTACAGAATTTCACCATTATGGGACAATAAAGGGATTTTCTATTCTATTCTATTCTATTCTATTCTATTCTATTCTATGCGAACTGATTTTTCCAGATGTGTCATTGGAATGATTTCAAACAGCTGATCAGCTGATCATCAGTCTGCACAAAGCAAACAGCATTCTGCAGCGTTGATTTATTGCTGCATGCACTGATTAACTGCATATATTTTGCATTTCGCATATTTCGCACGTTCACTGAAAACGACAGCAAGACATTTATTTCTGCACACAACAACAGTAAAATAACAGTCTTCAAATCTTGGAAAACAAGTCGAGTGGATATTTTTTGAACTTTTACGGAACAGTAAGATACTTTTGTAGCAACAAGTAGATGCAGCTTTGGATCCTCTCTGCAAAGCCGGAGCTTCTGTTCTTTATTCATTTACACTCACCAGCCACTTTATTAGGTACACCTGTCCAACTGCTCGTTAACACTTAATTTCTAAGCAGCCAATCACATGGCAGCAACTCAGTGCATTTAGGCATGTAGACATGGTCAAGACAATCTCCTGCAGTTCAAAGCGAGCATCAGTATGGGGAAGAAAGGTGATTTGAGTGACTTTGAACGTGGCATGATTGTTGGTGCCAGAAGGGCTGGTCTGAGTATTTCAGAAACTGCTGATCTACTGGGATTTTCACGCACAACCATCTCTAGGGTTTACAGAGAATGGTCCGAAAAAGAAAAAACATCCAGTGAGCGGCAGTTCTGTGGGCGGAAATGCCTTGTTGATGCCAGAGGTCAGAGGAGAATGGCCAGACTGGTTGGAGCTGATAGAAGGGCAACAGTGACTCAAATAACCACCCGTTACAACCAAGGTGGGCAGAAGAGCATCTCTGAACGCACAGTACGTCGAACTTTGAGGCAGATGGGCTACAGCAGCAGAAGACCACACCGGGTGCCACTCCTTTCAGCTAAGAACAGGAAACTGAGGCTACAATTTGCACAAGCTCATGGAAATTGGACAATAGAAGATTGGAAAAACGTTGCCTGGTCTGATGAGTCTCAATTTCTGCTGCAACATTCGGATGGTAGGGTCAGAATTTGGCGTCTACAACATGAAAGCATGGATCCATCCTGCCTTGTATCAACAGTTCAGGCTGGTGGTGGTGGTGTCATGGGGTGGGGAATATTTTCTTGGCACTCTTTGGGCCCCTTGGTACCAATTGAGCATCGTTGCAACGCCACAGCCTACCTGAGTATTGTTGCTGACCATGTCCATCCCTTTATGACCACAATGTACCCAACTTCTGATGGCTACTTTCAGCAGGATAATGCGCCATGTCATAAAGCTGGAATCATCTCAGACTGGTTTCTTGAACAGGACAATGAGTTCACTGTACTCAAATGGCCTCCACAGTCACCAGATCTCAATCCAATAGAGCATCTTTGGGATGTGGTGGAACGGGAGATTCGCATCATGGATGTGCAGTCGACAAATCTGCGGCAACTGTGTGATGCCATCTTGTCAATATGGACCAAACTCCCTGAGGAATGCTTCCAGCACCTTGTTGAATCTATGCCACCAAGAATTGAGGCAGTTCTGAAGGCAAAAGGGGGTCCAACCCGTTACTAGCATGGGGTACCTAATAAAGTGGCCGGTGAGTGTATATCCGTCTGACAGCAGCAACATTCTCACAGAAATTGGTTTTGCTATTTCAGTATCTAATCTCAAACTTAAACTAACTTCATCGCGGTGGAGAACGCGCTGCTGCTGCCTGCAGATATAAATAAATAGTGATTTAATTTAGTGGTCTGATGATTGCCCTCAACATTTCAGGCTAAATTCAAGTCACAATTAATACAGCTTTACGTAATACAGTTATTGAAGAAAATAAAGAATAATAAATTGGTGTTAACATAGCAATGTAAACGCCCTGTATAATAATCCTGCTTTAAAAAAAGCATAAAAAGAGGCTGTGATATGTGGACACACTGTTTATATCCCATGCTCCTTTTCTTCCTTTGGCGCATTCTTCTTCTCTAGACTATTTAGGCTGATGTAACTAGTAAATCTCTCCACTGTGAGATCAATAAAGTCAATCAATCATTATTTGGTGTTTTAAGTTGAAATTCCATTAAAATATGAATCATTAGGTTTTGTTTCATTGATGAAATTCTAGTAAAACAATAAAAAAAAAATCTGATTTTTGGTTTTATTTTTATTTTGAGGATTCAGGGAAAGAAAATGGCAGAAAATTCCGATCCCTGCATCAGAGCGCTACCTGTTGGATCTATGAACGGTTTTCTATGCTTCAGCCAAACTAGCAGCAGTAGTGGAGTTTGGAGATGCAATCTACTTCTTAAATCTATCTTTGCTCTCCTCTAATTTATCCAGAAGTTCTGCAATCACACTTTTTTCTCTCCCTCCCATTTTGGTGATCGGCTGCATATTTAGCCTTCCCTGGAAATGCCTTTCCTTTAAATTCTTTTTATTATTTGACAACCTCTCATTACAAAGCAACCTTGCAGGAAATCCTTCCGCATTGAAAATGAAAGCAAAGGATTCGCTCCATTCTTCTTTGAATCCTCTGTTCAGGGTATCCGCAGGTCATTAGAACTCATTAGAAGTCATTAAATTATATTTTTTTTAAATAAGGCCTTAATTGGACTTAAAATAAATGAAATCTGATTATTGTGGCATTTAAAATGATTTGTTTCAAAAAAAATATAAAAAAAAGTTTTGATAGATATATTATTACGCAATATATTTCCAGTTGTTTGTAAAGCGGTATGTTGAAAAGAAGCTCGAGGCGGAGGAAATGTTAGAGAGAAATGGAAAATGCAAATTTCAGCAAAAGTTTCTGGAAAGCGAGGAATTTGATGTTTCTGCAGCCTGTCGATGGTAAAGATGAGGAAGGATTTTGCTGTGTTTTTATGCATTTTATATATATATATATATATATATATATATATATATATATATATATATATATATATATATATATATATATATATATATATATATTAGGGGTGGAATAGTTCACAAAATCCACGGTTCGGTTCGATTCACGGTTTCGTGGTCACTGTTTTCGGTTCGGTATATGTTGATCCCATAAAAATTTATGAAATTAATGAAAAAAAAAAAAGTTTTGAATT